GCCAACGCGCCCTACCTCCGCTCCTGGGTCTTCCCCTCCTCCAACCTCCTCGACCTCGTCAGATCCCTCTCCCACCTCTTCGGCCTCGACCCGCCGCTCTTCACCAGATCCGTCGCAGCCCCGTCTCCCACTCCTCCTCCCGCTCATCCTCCTCCTCCTCCCGCCGCCGCCTCCCCCGCCATGCGCCCCGAGGCCGTCTATGCTCCTGCCCCTCGCCCATACAGGTTCCCGGCATCGCCCCAGCTCGCCGCGCGCCAGCCGCCCACAGAGGACCCAGCCGAGGTCTTCAAGCGCAACGCCATCTCCAAGCTCGTCGACACTGCCTATGCTGATGCTGCTGCCCTGCGCACCGCCCATGAGGCTGAGGTCGACTCCCTCTTCGCCGTGCAGGCCGAGCTGCGTGGCCGGGGGGAGGCGGTGAACGACGGGGTGCGCAGGATCACGGAGGAGAAGGAGACGCTCGAGCGCCGGCTTCAGGACGTGGTGATGGCCACTGACGTCATTGAGGCTTGGGTTGCCGAGAACCGCAAGGGGGCTGCTGATGACACCGCCGAGGCGGAGGGGGCTATCCAGCCGGCCGATGTGCTGTCCAGGCAGATGCTTGAGTGCACAGCTACTGATTTGGCGCTCGAGGACACCATCTATGCGCTTGACAAGGCTGTGCAGGAAGGATCGGTGCCGTTCGACGGCTACCTCAGGAGCGTGCGCGCACTTGCACGGGAGCAGTTCTTCCAGCGTGTCCTCTGCACCAAGGTTAACAATGCGCAGCAGCAGGCACAGGTTGCTAGGATGGCAGCACGGGCACCACAGTACGCCTCCTAGCCAAGATGATGGATAGGTCAGTATACATGCTTTATGATCGATCAATTCCATCCATTGTAAGAGAGTGGCTCAGTGTGAAGTTGGTTCCCATTGTCGTCGATGTGTGTGCTTACTGAATATAAACAGATGGATGTGTCACAATAATAACTTTATTAGTTGGGGTGTTGTAAGTTCATGGTGATGTTTGTGTAGGGTTGTTGAACTCGCAGTACATATCTCAGTTTTGAAATCTACACTCATTTCATTGATGTCTCTGTCTTGGTAAGTCTATATAGTATGAATGAAGCTTCCATGTTTGTTTGTTTGTTTAGATAGGCAAAATAAAAATCAGAGCCTGGGTGTGTTGCTGTACTAGGTACAGTTGTACTATCCTAATTGCAGTCCGGAGATTGAAATTCAGATATGAGAAGTACATGGACTCTCCAATACTTTGGAATGTTAGATATTTAGATGTTTTTTTCCTTCTGTCATGGCACTGCTGTGAACTTATTCCACTCCTGATACTTGGAACTGGAATAGTCTCCTAGCTGTGATATCCGGCTTGCACATATGTTCTGATAATTGTAAAAGCATAACCATTTTTTATCTCTGTTCTGCTGCCACCAAAGTTTGGTGGATGCTTTGGCTTGATGTTGGTGTCTCGAGGCTGTGTGTGATCTGAAGCTGACTGTTTCATTGCAATTTTTCTAGACTTGGGTTTATTTTCAGTTTATTTTTAAGTCTTGCGAATATGGTTTTTTTGAAACAATGTTTCTTGAATTGCAGACTCTGAATTTGCTAAAGTAGATTATGTATGGTACTGAGCGTATTCAAAAGCTCTTTAGAAGCCTTTTGGGGTGTTCTTTTTTTACTATAAACAGTAGGGTAACCTTTTGGGGTGTTATGTGGAAAAGCTATTTAAAAGCCTATTCCGTACCACCCCAAAATTAGCCTTGGTTACAAAATCCCATGCTATGAGGACTAAATAAACAGCCATCCAACATTGAAATCAAATTATAACAAAGAGATCTGTATCTCCATAGATGTGATGCCAACATTACAGGGGTTCCAATTTCTTGAGCTGCACTAATGTACAAAGCATGTGCATAAGTTGTCCTATCAATCTGACTATCCTACACGGAGGAACCAACGAATATAGATAGACCAAACAGTGGCTTCAGAACTGAAGAATCTTAGAATATAACTATTAGCCGAGTTAGCGTGGCGGCACGCCGCATACCTGTGTGAACTCTTGCTGTCCACACCCATATCAACCCAACACCAGATTCAAGAATCTATGAGTTTACGTACCACTGACCTTGCACTCTGAGTTGCATTGGCAACGGAATTAGTTGTCATCACCATGAGAATCTCTCACCACCCCAAAAATCGGAGAAAGAAGAGGAGTGCTTACCTTCCAGATGTTGATTTATTTACTGCCTGCCCTGCTGTGTGGATTTTATGCCCAGGAGATTCATATTATTAAAGAGTACCACAGTGGTGGACGTAACCCTGATGTTCTTTGCAACACAAGAGTACTGCAGCAGGTGTACACTCCTGTATTACTGAAATTTTAATATACATCGAAGCATCGTGTTCTTTTCACTTTGTTCATGCGCCTGTTCTTTCCACTCATTTTCTACAAGAGTTTTCTTAGAAGCAATTGAAAAATTGGATTTGATCACATAGCAACATGAACTGCACGGTCAACATAGGGCTCGGTGGCGTGTTCATCAATACCCCCAACTGCTGTGGCATCAACCGTTCCTGATATAATTCAGACTGTCTTGTCCAGGCGATCCAGGATGCTTTCCTTTGATAAAAAATCATCTGTGCCATCTCATATGAGTGATCTTGCCCCCACAGTGTTCTGGATATACAGGTGAACATTATTCCTTCTTTTTATTCCTTTAGTCATCTTCGCATATGTGCAGTGCATCTTTCTGAATTTCTATACTCATGTTTTTTGTTATTGACTTTTAGTTCAGAGAGAATTAGGTATAACTACCTTTTAGAAATTTATTGGAAGATTCTTGACCTTTTTGTCTTAGGTTAGATGGTACAGAGCGTGTTCTTTCTTTTGCTAAAGGTGTTAGGACTTGGACGAACAGAACGGAACAACCCACTTGGATATCAGTGTAGAATTGGTTGTGTAGATCAAAACTGCATGCAGGGATAAGCAATGATGTGCATAATCGTAAATCAGTATGATGGTATGCTGCACTTTAGGACTGTAGCATGTGACATCTCCAATTGTTTCCAGATCTGATTGATTTTGAAGTTTTTGTGCAATATATCAAACAAATGTGCATTTACTATTCTTGCAGTCAGAATTGAGTTGTCAGATTTAAGCCATCTTAAGTTGTCAGTAGAATATTGGTGTTTATAGGGTAGATGGCAGAATTGCTTCCTGCTGCATTGCAACTCTCTGACCAACCTTAACCTGAACTTTGAAGCTCCCTACAACACCTAATTAGCTGAAGGCTTGATAGACTTCGCGCCCAGGTCACTGAATTTCAGTGTAGTCACAAGTTGAACTCTGCCATTAAGATATTTGAAAACAAGATTTAATATTATTATTTCCAAGCTTGGTTAAAACATCAACTATTCTTACAAGACTTAAGAAATACTACTTCCTCCGTCGGAGGGAGTGGTAAATAAGACCCACATTGCTAATTTATATGTCATATTGTCATGGCATGGGGTCAGATTTAAGCCATCTTAAGTTGTCAGTAGAATATTGGTGTTTATAGGGTAGATGGCAGAATTGCTTCCTGCTGCATTGCAACTCTCTGACCAACCTTAACCTGAACTTTGAAGCTCCCTACAACACCTAATTAGCTGAAGGCTTGATAGACTTCGCGCCCAGGTCACTGAATTTCAGTGTAGTCACAAGTTGAACTCTGCCATTAAGATATTTGAAAACAAGATTTAATATTATTATTTCCAAGCTTGGTTAAAACATCAACTATTCTTACAAGACTTAAGAAATATTACTTCCTCCGTCGGAGGGAGTGGTAAATAAGACCCACATTGCTAATTTATATGTCATATTGTCATGGCATGGGGTCATGGATGCATGCTGATGTACCACTCCCGGACACAGAGTGCAAGCACAGTGCACATCACAAGATTCCACATGATTGAATATCTAAAAAGACCTTGTGAAATGCACTTTTCAGTTTTGAGTTGGACATGATGTCAGCGTGTTGAGGAGCTGATAGAAAAAAGCAAGACAATTCAATCAAACCAGCATGCATTGGGTGTGTCTGGTAATTATTTTGTTGTACGGCTTTTGAGTGTTCTCCTATGGTTGAGAAGAACGCGTTAAAGTCTTTGTGCCTTTGTCAGCTTTGAACACTGGGTGCATGGAACAATTATATGGTGACCATGGCCTTGATGTCATGGATGTCATGATATGTCATTTGAATATGTAGCTTTAGAAACTCATGAAGATCTTATCAGATCATCAAGTACTCTTGTGGCTCTGCAGATCACGTTGATAAAGTGACGAGACCCTGGACAAGATTCATGGAACTTATTTTGGGAGTTCAGCCCTGAGTTCACGGTGTTCAAGATGCAGGTGTGGTGAAACCGAAGAACAGTGTTCTAGACGTTTTTACTTGTATGAACAGTGGTACTATTGGTGCGTTCACTGGGGTTTACAACAAGTCCCACTCAGCCAGGCTTGGACCTTTGCTGTTCCAGATGTTTTACCAGAAAAATGTATTCCTTGGTACAGTTTCTGCCTAAATCTTGATAATAGGCAGCTTCATTCAATCATTTGAGGATTGTTCAATACAAACATGGCCCTGATAATACCAGGAGACACATTAAACCAGCAGGGCCCTTCATCATGGTCAGCTGACTTTGCTAGAACATGAGCTGCCTCATTACAAGAACAACTAACATGAGTACAGCTACAGGATATGAACTTTGGAGCCCTACTCTCAATATCAAAGACCTTGGGCAACTATGTGAGATCTGTCCTCCCCACTCTTCACCTTACTCATCAAACTAGCACAATCGGAAGCAACAATAATCTGTTGGAAGCCAGTTTCTTCAGCAAAGGCTAGAGCATGGTGCACTGCAATAGCTTCACCCAACTCTGGATTATCTACATGATCAAATCTTCTGCTTGCAGCTAACACCAGATCCAGACGGCTGCGGATGACAACACCAATGCCCATGCCGGTCTGGGCGAAAATCCAAATCCAGACTTGGGTGAAGGGTGAGGCATTTTCCTACCATTTCTCATACTGTTCCGATTCTCCCAAATGTGCCAAATTGCAACAGCATGAGGCATTAGAAATCCAGTTTGATAGCCATTGTTGCATATGGACAAAGCTTTTTAGATTTATTGATATATATATATATCAGATGATCTCTTTAGATCCGCCCAGATTTCTTTGACATAATGGCAAAGAAGAAAACAGTGTTACTGTCTCAATCTTGTTACAAAATATGCAGTCATACCTTGTTGGGATTGATCACTTGTGGAGCTGGTCACCCGTATGAAGGCAGCTCTGTGCTATTCTCCAAAGCACAATCTTCATTCTTTTTGGACATTGAATTCTCCATAGGTTTCTCCACAATTTCTCCATGACACCCTGTTCCGAAGAAGATCCTCTGCCTGCTGCGCTTTGATTAATCCAGAACAGATGCGTTGTTGCAAGATTATAGCCTGACATTATTGTATAAATTCCTGTCTTGGGTATGGCCAGGAGGCAAAGTCGCTGCACCCTTCAGAGCTTAGAGGGATTTTAAGTTTTCTCTCTGCAATGTCTTGAGCAAAAAGTTTTGTAATGGTTTATTCTTTCCATGAGGAACCATTACTAGGAATTAGAGGAGATCACTGTTTGGTTATCTTGCACCGGGACTAAGTGTGCACTGTATCTGGTATGGTATCTGGCGCCCAATTATCCCTGGTATAGAAATTTGCTTGCTGTCTCCTACTCTCCATAGTAATCCTTTTTGCAGAAGTTCCCTCCCATACAAGGTGCTTCACCAAGTGTAGGATGCTGCTCTTGGTAGTTTTTGAGTTCCAAAAGTCTTCATCACGGAAACATCTCCCTTTCATTACATGGTGACATAGAGAGAGGGGCTCCAATAACAGTTGCCGACACTGTTTTGCAAGCATGGCTTGGTTAAATACGCGCATGTCCATAAATCCCATTCCCCCAAGGTATTTCAGAGATGCATTTCACTAAACGAGCTCAAAAGAGGTTGGACTGAAGTAATTCAACATAAGCCGACATCTTGCCTTTCTTTGAACTCATATTCATCTTAGGAAACGAACTTGTGTACTTCCCATTTAAAAGACACAATGCACACATCCGCTTGCCTGGGCGGCATCATCCACCTGGCTAATATGGTTTTACGTTTCTTGAATTGCGGACTCTGAATTTGTTGAAGTAGATTATGTTGCTGAGTGCCGCATGGTTGGGTCTGGAACGCTCCAACCTCATTTGGCAGCAGCAGGAGCTGAAGTATTTTCCTTTTGGTCAACCAAGTAGATAATGTCCAGTTCTAGACAGGTTCCATGACCTGTCGTATGGTTTTGGATTGATAGCTGTGTCTGTCAACCAACACAGTATCTCTTTCTTTTTCTCCCTGAAAAAAGGTAGTTGACCGGCTAGATGTTAATCTGAACCTGAAAATATTTTGCATCTATTATTATCTTGACCGATCACAGAACACAGTGTGAGCATTAGAAAGCAAGTTGGCTGAGAAGAGACACATGACCGGCATGAGCTCAATTGCCCTGAACCAACAACCAACCCATTGAGATGAGATGAGTTTTCTTTTCTTGAGATGAGAGAAATAAAAGAAGTTGGAGTTACAAGGATGGTAGGCTTTAGAGTTGTCAAAAAAAAAGGACGGTAGGCTTTAAAACATGGAAACAAAATTATCCTTGAATTAGCAACAACGTCCTGTGGAAACAAAATTATCCTGTGAAGTTATAATTTTGTTTTCATACGACGCTAGACATAATTTAAAAGCATTGTTTGTCCATTTTTGGAGTAAGGCAGAAACTGTGGAAGTGTCCAATGGGTTGATCTAGAGTGGCCAGACTCACTCGAGAAATCACTTGCCTAGTTATTTATATGTTTTCTAACTTCACTTTATCATAAGGAAATGCAATATTTAATAATTGTATGAGAAATATATATTATGAAAATGTGATTACATCAAGAATATTATTACCTATACTTGGAAAATAGATATTTGACATATTATAACAAAATGTGTATCAAAAAATAAGTTCATCATTAACTTATTGACATGAACAGTTGTGATAAAATAAAAAAGTTTAGTATAAATAAGTGAGAACCTTTGCAATAATCCAATTCATCAAAAATAACGTAACTTTACTTCTTGTTGTGTTCTCCAGAAAAAAAACAACATAACGTTACTCGCTGACAATTTTATGATATTTCTCGTTCATAAGTTGGTTAGATGTCGACGATGCGACCATGCGTCTCAGAGGAGCTATCGTCCCCGCCGCCCCAACGTTTGTTGCCGTCGCAATCTTCGTTACTACTGAGAAAAGAAAGTCATCCTGATCTTGGCTTTTAATTTTTTTTCTTCACTCTATTTTTCTTTTATTCTTTTTGCTTTCTACTGGTTGTGGTAGGGAAGGATGGAGAATAAAATACTTTAACTCTGATCTCAAAATTATTTAGAGGAAGTTCATGTTGATGCGCTCTGTCTTATGTTGAACCCCAATGAATGAAATTCTATTTCAAGCACGGACTTCTCAACACTTGAGTTGATCTATCCTTCGCGCAATTCTTATGCATATATTTGCTGGCAGGTAGGCCAAAAATTACAACATGCCCCATTAGTTTGCCACCGGTATATTCTCAAACCAATAAGGAGTGGTAATCTTAGGTAAATGCGAATTTCTACTGCTGCCATGACATGTGAGTCTAATTAGGTTGCGATCCAATCTGTCATTTTCTCATAATTAATTTTGGATTTAAGCTAAACAACATTAGTGACCTAAGAAAAGCTTAATACAATAAGTTAAAAACTCTATGTGGGGAAAGTAAGAGGAGGCCTTGATCCAAGATTTCATCGAACCAAATCGTGATCCTCAGTTGTGAGGACCCCTACACTGTTGGAGTAATTTCAGAAGCTTCTAGGTTAAGATTCAGCGGTCACTTCAAAGACCTACCTCTAGTGAATGGAGCTCGTTCTTTGTGCGCCGAGGCTCTCGAAAAATAAGTCTAGACAAGGTGTCGTTGAGGGTATCTTTGTGTTTCCTCCTCTTAGTTGCAACCACACGACCAAAATACAGTTTCCTATTTAACACTTGATGGTTCGGGAAGTACTGCTCAAGATCTTGGTGAGCTCATGCTGGTATGAATATGATTCTTGCAGTACCAAACGATGCCATCTGTACTCGTTATATTTCTATAAACTGGCATGTTGACTCGAGGGATGGAAATCTTTCTTGGTGAGCTCATGCTCAACAACTATGCTGACAAGAACAACATTTCATATACAATCAAATGGACCAATCACTTGCCATTTTCAGTACCGTGGACTAAATAATTAGTGATTGCATGATGTAGGCCTCCCTGCAGATAGATACCCCACCCAGCTCGCCAAGATGACCATCTACAATGAATACATCTCTGTTTTCACCAAGATCATTTTCTAACAAGCACATAATTTTTCTTCAACACTTTGTACATTGCAAAAAAAAAAAACATACTCACAAGGCCTAGCTTAAATCTGTACTGTACATCACTGCTATATACGGTACTACTCCCTCCATTCCTAAATATAAGTCTTTTTAGACATTTCAAATGGACAATAACATACGGATGTATATAGACATATTTTAAAGTGTAGATTCACTCATTTTTCTATGTATGTAGTCACTTGTTAGAATCTCTAGAAAGACTTATATTTGGGAACGGAGGGAGTAGTACACTAGAGGATCAGAGCTAACTGATCAACGGCGCCTCTGCGAAGAAGGAGGAGGCATGAGGGACCTGAGGTAAGCTTTGGGCAGCGCCGCCAGCTTCTTGGCCTTGGGAACATAGGCCCGCTTGCTGAAGTTGTCGTAGCCGTTGGCCTCGATCTCGTCCAGGATCTGCCGGTACAGAAGCAGAGATGCCCACACCTGCATGCAAATCGTATTACATGTTAATCTGAAACTTACTTAGACTACTGAATTTGACATTTTTGGCTGAGAATTTTTGAATTTTTTGATGGAACTTTTGTCGCGCGCGTACCGGCCATCGGCTCTCCTGGTTGAGCTCGGCGGCGCCTTGCTCGGCTTGTTTGAAGTAGGCCCTGGCCCTCGCGATCTGTCCCTTCATGAAGCTCCTCCACTCGTCGGTGACACGGCCGGCGAAGATGTCCGCCTCGGAGATGCCGGCCATGGCTAGCTCGTCCTGCGGCAGGTAGATCCTTCCCCTCCTCGCACTGTGCAACAATGGCGGTGTCAGAGATGAGCAGTCATCGGCAAGAGCGCGTGAATTCAGAAGCAACATACTATACAGACACTTACTCCTCGCCGACGTCCCTGAGGATGTTGGTGAGCTGGTTGGCGACGCCGAGGGCGAGCGCGCCGGCGTACACCGTCTCCACGTCCGCCTGGGAGCCCGGGGAGACACCCATGACGGGGACGGTCATGAGCCCCACGGTGCCGGCCACGCGGTAGCAGTAGAGGTAGAGCTCGTCGAAGGTGGCGTAGCGGGACTTGGCGAGGTCCATGCGCATCCCCTGGACCATGTCCCGGAACGGCCGCTCGTCGACCGCCGGGAAGGCGGCCACGGCGTCGGCCAGCGCCGCGTCGAGCATGTCGTAGGGCCGGCCGGCGAAGACGCCGTCGAGGCGCGACTCCCAGCGGTCCAGCGCCAGCGCCGACGTGTGCGCCGCGTTCGGGCCGTCCACCAGCTCGTCCGTCCTCCGGCACCACACTGCATGCGCGACGCATCCAAGAAGTTAACCACATCAATGACCTCCTGCTGTTGCGTACTTGCGTTGCGTCCACCAACGTGGAAGCTAGTGGCAGCATGTCGCGATCGACGAGTGCTTACCGTATATCGCCCAGATCGCCCGCCTCCGTTCCGGCGTCATCAGCTGCGTGGCCAGGTAGAACGTCTTGGCGTACTCCTTGCACACCGCGCCGCAGCGGTCGAAGGCCGCGTCCAGCACGCCGGCGTCACGGCCGGCGTGCCGCGCCTTCCTCGGCGTGGTCGAGGCCGCGAGCGCCGCCTGCTTGAGCACGACCTGGCGCACGCTCTCCTCGTACGACACGGTCGCCGGCGCCGCGACACAGTCCATGCTCCACGGCGCGGCCGCCTCGAGGCAGACAGCGTGGTTGGACGAGCCGGCGGCACGCGCTGCCACAGAGCGCGGCCTCGGCGCACGCACGCTGCTGGAACCGGCAGCTCCCCTCCCGTCATCGCCGGCCAGGAACACGACGAACCGGCTCCCGCCATGCTGCTGGTGCTGGGCAGCGCACGCGGCGGGCGAGGTCACCGCGCGGGCCGTGGAGAGCATGGCTGAAAAAGTGAAAAGGCAGGGCGATCGATGCTAGTGACCGTGTTGTGTGCGCGCGTTCCGGTCGTTTGCCGCTCCCTCCCTTTTGTAACGTTGAGCCGTGTGGGCGAGTGGGCACGTGTCGGCCGGACCAGCATACGGGTTCCCACCACTTTTCCTCCGGCACTCGGAGTGCGCGCGCGGACAGACTAAACGGAGACGAGAAGGGACAGCACACGCGCTGCCGCTGTGTTGGATTGGACGCGGCGCCACTGGCCGCACGCAGGCCAACAATCAAGCAAGCCCAAGCTCGTCGGCAGGCAGAGATGGACCGACCGACACGATGGATGGAATGTCTGCTCTGAAATTACCGACCAGTAGAGTAGAATAATCGGCCACGGATCCACACACGACACGCATACCATACGCATGTGAGTGTCAGTTAACAACGGTTAGTGGAGCAACCACCATGATATCACTACTATCACACCGGCCACACCGGCCAGCCCATTGACCAGCACCGAACCGATCTCCGGTCGACCGATTCGAGGGTGACCACCAGCGGCACCGACCAGGGCCAGAGCCGCGGACGTGGATCATGTATGGATGCATGCATCTGCCCCCGTCGCCCCGCCGTCCCACGTCCAGCGCGGACGCCACATGCCGACAGACACGTGGACGCTGGGGCGGAGACAAGGAGCACCTGGTGGGGCGGGGTGTGTCCACTATGCATGATTGAGCATATCCTGTCCGCTCTCGTGGCTTCTTGTCGCCTTTCTTTCTTTTTCTGCTGTAGCGATCTCGGACGCCGGCCGGGTGCGTGCTGGCCCAGACGGACGCGCTCGTTCCGTCGTGGCGGCGGGCGCGGTCACCGCGCCGCGTGCACGCATGCGTCGACGCGCAGGACCGTGTTGCGCCGGGCGCACGGCATCCGGCGGGTGAAGAGCCGCCTGCTCTGCACTTGGACGGCGGAGCAGCGAGGTGATGGACGGCGACGGCCTTCACTTCCCTGCCCTGCCTCCTCGGTCAGCAAGCACTCGTCGGCAGGCAGGCAGGAGCACGACAACGATGGCCACCGGACCAGTACAGTACGCCGACCGAATGGCTGACACCCGATGGTCTTTCTTTCTTTCTTGAGTGCGCCAAAATACCTGGTGCTGCTGAGTTGGTCCTGGCTGTTGCTCAATTTACGCTGTGCACTTGAGTGTAATGTGGCTGATTGGTCCAGTTTTTCTGCTTGTCTCTTCGTTTCTTCGTCTCTCCACTGGTCAACCGGAAGGTAGGCAGTGCTGCGTTGGGCCATGCCCATCCTGCCACGCGGCTCACATGCACGCATGCACGCTTTAAACTGCACTTTCCGTATACATCTAGGTTGATTGCACCCGAATATGAAATGAACGGTGGCCATCCACGTCCAGTCATCAGACCTCAACAAAGAAGCAGCGAGCAGCACGCAAGAGAGTCCTAGACTCTCTCCATTTCTTTTAGGAGTCAGTCTTTTCGTCCAAGCGTCTACATCCCCCGCAAAGTCGGCACTCGACAATCCCAAGCTGCCTTCGCTCGCCTATTCATTCACAGCTCGAATCAGCGAAACAATGTCAAAATCTGACGGTCCATGCGGCACCAATTAATACTCCCTCCGATCCATCTAAAGTTGTACCTGATCGCTAAATTTCAGTCGACCGAGGCATAGCGAAGTGTCAGTCAATGCTATATTTGTAAGATCTTACATAAATAGATTACAAGTCTCACTTGACTGAGATCTAGCCACACCCAAAATTATACTAAAGCAGCGTCAATCAATATAGATCGGAAGGAGTAGGTCCAATCCAGCGTGACATTGACCGGTGGTGATACATCGTCTTCCCTACCGTCCATTCCCACAATAAAACTTGATTATCCTTCGCGCATTTGTTTTATACTACCTGAGCTACAAAGTGTCCTTTTCTCTACTGATTTGCCTGTATACTAGGGTAGGCACAGCACAAGGGATGGATTTCATTCATTCATCCGGACCATATCATCCCAAAAGAAAAGGAAGGATCATACTATTTATAGTCCACCAATCAGGTTTTGACACCACCCTGTTTCACTCCAGGTGGGTCCCGGCCGTCCAACCATTGAACCAAAAAAGTCAAGCTGAAACAGAGACACTAATCTGCCATGTGGGATTCCCCTATTTGACCACGTGCCACTTTTCTGGTGCCAACAATCTGTGATCACCGATCATCAAATTTTCGGGCGCCCACTGACTGAACCGTCGAGAGATGAATAAACTTAACAAGATGCTCATCGGCATGTAGAGTGGGCACCATATATGCACATACAGGCGACATTGCCCGGTTTTGTGGAAACTCCAGGATCCAATTTAAATACATTAAAACTGAACACTTTTCCAGCCTTCTCAAGGCATCAGCGCTCCCGGCCGTCTGATCATCAGTTTGAAGCATTTTTGGCTGTTGGATGAGCTGTGAGTCGCTCCTAATCCGGTTATGTTCGCTAACAACGATCGCTAACCATCCTGGGCCGCTGCTCCGGTCACTTTTTTGGGCGCTCCGGATAAATTGTGCCTCTAGCAACCTCCTTACACACACCTACACTGAGCCAATCGACACGATGCGGAGAAAAAGAGTACTACGAGAGAAGGACGCCTAAAAAAAGAGAGTACGAGAGGAGGCACGACGATGCAGGTCTCCTCTTCCCTAGGTACGCCGCCGCCGCCTCCCCCGATCTCCTCTTCCTCTGGGCCGCTGCTACTCTTGTAGCCGTCGTTTCCACTCATCCCCAAGCCCCATCCCTCCCGATCCCTTTTCTCTTATGATCGAGGGTGAATCATTGATGTGCTGCCAGCTTGGGCAAGATGCCGCCGATGTGCAAGGAAGATGCGAAGGGGCAGCACTACACTCGCAACCCTATTGAGGCGGCGGCAGCAGCGGACGCCCCTTGATGAAGACGTCCTTGAAGGTAACGGGCAGGCGACGACAACGGCGCGGTGAAGACCTCTCCCGTCCTGATTCCAGTTCGATGTCCCGGCTATCGATGCATTTGACAGCTGGCCGCAGGGAGAAGGTCAAGGCTAAGGTATATCACGAAACGCTTCCCTACACACCTGATTCCGTTTCACTTCATGACGATGCCGCTAACGCCCATTCTGAATTTAACAACAACCAGGCAGTAGGATTATCCCTCCGGTTCTATCAATTTTTGCAGTCGTTGTCTTCGCGTTGTGTTCATTGGCCGGTGACCAGTATGGTAAGCATCCACGTTTCCCTTCCCCTTTCATTTCATATGTATGATTTTTTTGTACAAGGTACCGTGGTTGAACTCCTACTTCACAGTACTAATTTACACGCCAGTCATGTAACTATTTGTATATAGTGTGCAGATTCAGTTTGGAATTCTAATGTGGATATTTGATCTTCAGTTCAAGTAATTGAGTTCCTGGTTGTATTGCCATCCCTACATATACCCAATTTCTAAGCAGCAGAGGTACACGGTCCAGTCAAGCAGAAGGCGTAGATTTTCTGCCTGTCTGCATTAGTCTGTACTGTACTCATGTGCTTGTTTTCTCCCTGCCCCATGTCTCCTCTATGGCTTTCTGAATCCTACTTGCATGTAGATGCTTATTTGGCCTTCTGGAAGATATCACTTGATTCATGTAAGTATTTTTTGATTATGCTTACCTGTTAAATTTTCAGATAGCTCTTGATTCATTTCAGATTTCACACATGCTCTAGCCACTCATTAGTCCAAGCTAATTGGTATTTCATATACTGATCCATGTTGAATGCGGCGTATATATGAAACCAAACAAGAGGCTCAAAACTATATTCAATTTGTTACAACATTTTGTATGTCTAATATATTCGCCAGCTTATGCAACTTTAGTTTTATGTTTCATTATTTTGAAAAATATTGCAGAAACTCGAGATGGTTGGTGTGGATTATGAGCATGCACGCACACCTTGCCGCTGGTTGGTGTGGATTCGTGAGGCAGGTGGGAGAAAGATCGACAAAGTGGTGGTGTCCTGCGGCTGGGAGGGCCACGGTGAGCACCCCCTGCCCCCTCCCACAATTTTTTTATGTGCCACAAATTTCTCATGGATGGCTGTGAGATTGCTAATTATGCTTACTTTTGGGTTCACACAAATAATGCTCTGAGAGAAACTTTGTTCCTTCAGTTGATCACATGGCTAAAGAAAATAAATGTGAATATATTATTTTATTAATGTATGTACAAGATATGCTCGTTTCTCTGAAGAAAATAACATGTGAAGACTTTTTTATTAATGTATAGCATACGTCGACTTTGATGATTTGTGCCTGTCAGGTGTTAAGATTTTATCCATTTTTCTTTTATGAAAGGAAGCTATTTTTCTGTACTGTAGCTGTATATTCCAAGGTTCTTTTATTATTGTACAGAATATGTTGACTTTGCTGATTTGTGCCTACCAAATCTTACGATTTTATTATTTTTTCTTTTAGGAAAGGACGTTATTTTCTGTACTGTTTACTCATACAGAAAGAATCTAAAATTTGATATCCCATGTAGAATGTATGACTATGCCAACTGTCCCTATGCTTTGCATTTAAGCAATCAACATGGACACATAATGTTGACAAGTGGAAGTGTCAAGATTTATAGTTTTGAATATTCTTAGTAGCTGTATATGTAGTTGTATATTTTGCGAAAAATACATGTAGTTTGT